CCATTCCTCTGCTGTCAGCAAACAACTGTTAAACCTACTGGCATGTCTCATCCCCCTCTGGCACTAGTCCAAATAGATGATGACAGCCTAATACTGCTGTCGTTTATTCCATTAGCACAAGTGGCAGAGGTCTGTGTGGTTGATCTAAACGTTCCAACCCTGCTGATGACTCATGTTGGTGTCTATATGCCACCAGATGATGAAATTCTTGTTTTTTCAATTTGTTTCTTTAAAAAACTAGGAAATTAGATAATACAAACATTTTTAAGGTTACAAGATCAAGTTAGGAAACACCAGAAAATTAATGTTGCCTGTGAAACTTTAATTCAACTCCCTTGTGCATATGCATTGTGAAACAGTTTAACTACATGATCACACACCATTTTATCCACAGAACCCTATCCCATTCAGTGCATAGGACGAATGGTGCTTGCTTAACTATTTGATATTTTGTTTTTTCCATACTGTTCTATGTGTGGCTCCATACCTTCTTTATCGCATACTATTCAAACCCAGCTCTAAAAACAAATTTATCAGATTCCTCATGGGCTTTTCTATGATGCTCATCATTACAGTATCTGAGTGCTTCATGAACATTAATGAATTTATTTTCACAATACCCCTTTGAAGTGAGGGGCTATTATTATCTCCTTTTTACAGATGAGGAACTGAGGCACAAAGAGATTAAGCTCAAAAGTATCCACTAAATTTGGGTGCGCAATCTGATTTTTTAAGATTTAGCACAATATATGTTCGAAGCACAGTTTCCATTGACTTTAACTGCAGCTGTGACTGGTCAGCACTTCTGCAAATCAGATCCCAGGATCTCAAGTCAGGCACCCAGAAAATGAGAGAAACACAATTAGTAACCACATGTAAAAAGTCTGGTTTAAGTGAGTTGCTTAGCATTACACAGAAACTCTGTAGCAAAGGAAGGGATAGAATCCAATTCTCCAGGTCAGCATTCATCTGCTTTAACCATGAGACCCCATTTTTTCCTCTTCTTACAAACCCTTGCCTCATTTGTTACACATGTTCCAAATTGTGCAACAAATGAAGATGGGATCCTACAAGACAAGAGCTTACTTTCCTACTCAACCTTGATTTATCCCCAGAGCAGATTCATCCTGTGCACTGAATGAGGCAGGGGTCCTGTGGAAAAATAGTACGTGGTCATGTAACTAAAGATTGTAGCATAGTGTATATGCACAAGAGGTCTGAATTAAGGCTGTACAGCCAATCTTAACTCTGGCATTTTGTAACCTGTGAGAGCTTGACTTTATAACCTTCATAATGTTCTGTTAGTAGAGGAGTTTGTATGTATGTATGTATGTGTATGTAATGCATATAGAACACGAGTACTTGTGGCACCTTAGAGACTAACAAATTTATTACAGCATAAGCTTTCATGGGCTACAGTCCACTTCATCGGATGCATAGAATGGAACATATAATAAGATTATATATATATATATATATATATATATATACACACACACACACACACACAGAGATAAGTTGGAAGTTGCCATACAAACTGTGAGAGGCTAATTAGTTAAGATGACCTATTATCAGCAAGAGAAAAAAACTTTTGTCATGATAATCAAGATGGCCCATTTAGACAGTTGACAAGAAGATGTGAGGATACTTAACTAAGGGAAATAGATTCAATATGTGTAATGACCCAGCCACTCCCAGTCTCTGTTCAAACCCAAGTTAATGGTATCTAGTTTGCATATTAATTTAAGCTCAGCAGTTTCTCGTTGGAGTCTGTTTTTTAAGCTTTTCTGTTGCAAAATTGCCACCCTTAAATCTTCTACTGAGTGGCCAGAGAGGCTGAAGTGTTCTCCTACCAGTTTTTGAATGTTATGATTCCTGATGTCAGATTTGTGTCCATTTATTCTTTTGCATAGAGACTGTCCGGTTTGGCTACATATAATGCAGATGTATCACTTTTTTTATATGATGTATAGTATACATTAGTACAGATACATTATAAACATTCAGATATAATATGCATTATCTATATTTCTTTATTGTATTATTGGTCCATCCTGTGATCAAACTGGAAAGAGATCTGCAGTTTTTTGAATGGTCTACCATAAATCTACATTTCTTTTCTTTATGGTATTGGTATATCCCATGGTCAAACTGGAAATAGATCTGCAGGCTTTTGAACGATTCTAGCATAATTGAAGTTATATTTTGCTTTGACACTAGCTCCCCCTCCAGACCAGTCTAACAATATTGTAATTACTTTTTATTTTAAACTTTGACTATACAAAAGATTTAAATACTCAAATTCAACTATTTCTTTCAGAAGATATCACTGAATCCCTGAAATTATGCTGAAAAGACTGATCACAAAATGAATAGCCAAAATCCACAAACAAGACTTTGAAATTCATTCAATCTAAAATACAACGGGTAAGCAGGGCACTCATGTATACAGCTACAATAGGTCTGAACAGCTTAAAACTTTTCTTAATCAGATGGGTATTTCAGGAACTGTCTAATACATTTATCATCTTCAACACAATTCCATTATACGCTCAAACTAATCTCTTTGTTTGCACCTTAATAAAGTAATCATAAACAATTAAAATTAGATTACAGAAACTAGTAAAACTCTATGGATCTTAGTATCCTTGCTGATTTTATTAATCCATTTGTTCTTGGGAAAGTATAAAGATGTTTTACACCTGTTCTTGTAGTCACAGAGTTTCCTTTCAGTTGCTTAGCTAATTTACTCAGACAAGATTCTAAACAAAATCAAGCAACAAGAGAAAAAGCAGTTACAACTTTAAGACCGCCTACATTCTTCAGCTGTCAGATACACATCTCCAGTTGTCTACGTCTGAGATACTGAACTTGTGCAATTCAGCATTCCAGTGTCTGCTTCTTACTTTATCCTCTTTATTGAACAGCTTGCTCAGAAATATGAATAACTAATTACACTTTATACATGGAAAAACTGGCTGGTTTGTTGTGTGTATGGGGGGGGGGACTTAGCAAAACACTGCTTCGCTGCACAATGCAGAATGATTTCATCTTGAAATTATTTTAGGCAAGTACTCATACAATTTTGGCAGTGTACAAGCTTGTACAGCTGCAGCATCCAAGCAAATACAGATTATTAAAAATAAAAGTCTGTCATTCAAATTGTAGTCACCAATATAAATATTGTTGATTGTGAACTTTCATACATGTAAAAAGATTACTGTAAAATCTGTTTTTAGTGACCACACAGGGAACCAGCAAATATCAACTGCCTTTATAGTTGCCCATACAGTTTACAACTTCGAGTTTTTTGTTACTTAAGATAAGGATGATTTTCAAAAAATTGACCTCATAATATTGTGAAACCCAAGAACTACCTCACTTCTAAATGGCCATTTCGAAGTATCCCCATGACCGTTAGACAATGCCTAGAAATTGATAGAAAATTATTAAAAATGCTACTGTAACACGCCAACTAAACATGATTGTAAATTCTAATATAAGCAGAACACAAGTATGTTCCCAGACATAATGTATTATTATATAGTATCTATATTGAAGTAGCACCAAGAGGGTAGCATGGGCAAACCATGGCCCCACTCGACTCTGGCTATATGGCTTGGTCTACACATGAGAGTTATATGGGCATAGTCAGTTGGGGGTGTAAAAAAAAAAACCATATCCCTGATATAGTTATGCCAATATAATTCCCACTGTAGACGTACTATATTAACAGAAGAGTGCTTGACATAGCTCACGTTGTTTAGGGTGGTGGTGTTCCTACGACGACAGAAAAATCCCTCTGTCAGCGTAAATTGTGTCAACACTATAAGGTTGTACTGACATAGCCATGTCAGTATAATCTCCATAGTGCAGACAAACCCAAAAACAGTCTCTGTCTCAAAGAGTTTACAGTCTAAGGCCCAATCCTACAACATATAGCATATGTCTGGACCTCTGCACTCAAGTGCTATATGTTATCTAAATAATGAGACAACAAGGTGATATAAACAAACAAACAGTTGCTGAGAGCACAAGGCAACAAGTAAGATGACTGATGTAATAAATTGTAGGTAATATGACTACCCTTGTCCCCTTTCCCCTAACCTCTGTTTACTGGTCTGTCCTTACTTACATTATGTTGTTTTTTTTTTAAACAAGGCCCATCCTTTCTGAGTGTTTGGAAAGCAACTAGCACACAGCGGGTGCTGCCATAAACAATCAACTGGCCACAGCATCCCTAGAATTAAACATGCCTAGGAACAAGCACCAGTGCCTTATCTACACTACAGTTCAAAGTCCTGTAAATTAATACGAGGTAGAAGATGGTTAAAGATCCTCGTGTGGGCAAGCGCCCGGCAGTAACCGACTTCGGAGCGGATTCGTGGGGCAGTCACTCCTCTGGGCTCCCCGGGGCCCTTCACGTTAAGGGGGCTCACTGGAGATCCACTCCCACCACCAGCATTTTCTGCTCGTCATTTCACCCTGCAAAGACTGACTGCGGGGCCGGGGCATCTGCCGGGTGAGTGAAGTTTGCCGCCGCCGCCGCCGCCGCCGCCTCTTCCCTGGCGGCGGCGGCGGCGGCAGCAGCAGCTCGCAGGACGACAGCAGCGCTCCCCTCCCCGAACCCCGCGGCAGCCCGGCCCCAGGAGCGCCGCCTCCGCCCGCGCAGCCCGCTCCGCGCTCCCCCGGCGACTCGCTGCGGGAGCTCGGGACTCGCACGCGGCTCCCCGGGGGCCGGCCAGCGGCCCCGCCGCGCACAGGGGTTCAGCAGCCCCCTGCTCCCCAGCGGCTCAGGCCCCGGCCCGTGGCACCACGCGGGGAGCCTGGCACCCGGCGGGGGACGCTCTCCCCTTCCCCCACCGGCGGCAGCCGCTGAGCCGCGTTCGAGCCTCCGCAGCCCAGGCCCGGGGAGGGATGGGGAGCGGCAGCTGGAGCAGCCCCGAATCGCCCCCCCCGCTTCTCAGCGCCTCCACACCCGGACCCCCGCAACCTCTTACCCGAGTAGCAGCAGCAGCAGCGCCCGCCGGCTCCCCTCCTGCTGCGGGTGCCGGCTTGCAGGAGGCGTCGGCGCGCGGACGCGGGTCTGGAGGGGGATGAAAATACGGAAACAGGAACCTGCCGTCGCTTAACGGAGCTTCTGACTGAGCGAGCGGGCGCGAGAGACACAGCGCGGAGCGAGCGCGCGTCAGGGAGCGGGAGCGCGCGCGCGCTCCGGGGAGTAAGAGTGCTGAGCGGGTGCGCGCACCAGAGCCCGGCAGCCTGTGAGCGCTCAATTGGCGAACGGCGCTTCTAGTGTAGGGGAGGGATTCGGTTAAGCTGGGTAGACAGCACTAGCCGCCGGCAGTGCGCATGCGCCATCCATGACGCTCTTGCGACTGGCCCAGATTCCGCGAGCCCTGCTTGGCGGAGCGATGCTGTTCGGCGCTGGCTCCTACAGCGCGGCCGAGGCTGCCCGACGGCGACAGGCTGGACCCCCGCGCGGCTGTGCCTTGGGCACGGCTCGGCGGAGCACCGGCACTCGGCGCATCTCCCCTTCTCCCCAGCGCCGCGCCCGCGGGAGCCGCCGGCCAGGGCTCTCGCCCCGCGCACAGGGCGGAGCGGGGCAGCTGCCGGAGCAGAGCCCGCTGAGCGCGGGTCTGAGCGCGGCCTCAGCCTGCCGGGCGGGGCCCCCTGCCGCTGGTAGGTGGCTGTGGCGGGCGAGGCTGAGTCGCTTCGCACAGCCCGCAGAGCTCCCAGGTGCTGCAGTTTTGACGGGAGCCCGGTAGAGCGAGAGGGAGGGGGTGAAGGTGGGTGCCTGGTGCCACTAGGGTTGTCCGTTCTGGTTGGCCCTGTTCCTGAAGCTTCCATCATATGATATAATCTTTAATTACAGATTGATCTCAGCCCTTGAGATTTCAGGACAGTCCCCGGGAGGTTGGCAACCCGAGTGCCAGCCCAGGCAGCAGGAGCAGTGCGGGGAAGGGCAGTCCATCACCTATTGTTTGGAATGTATCTCCGGTGAAACCTGCATTTTTTTTTTTTTTTCAGATAGGTTTAGTTTGCCGGCAGGAGGTGGATGTGTTCTCTCCCTTCCCCAAAATAACCGTAGCTGCATGTTCAGCAACAGTTTGTGGTCCAACAGTCACTTGCAATTACCTCTTTATTAGAAAGTTAGGATCCTGGATTAGTTTCTACAATAGAAATTGAGTGTTAGAGGGGTCAGAATGACAAAAAATACTTTCTGGGGTTCCAGCTGGAACGAAAACAACTAATTTTCCCTTCGGTTGATGGGGCATGCTGTTCATTCACAAATTTCATAGTCAGTTGAGGGGGATATGATATAGGTCTATAAAATCATGAATGGTGTGGAAAAAGCTAATAGAGAAGTGTAATTTATCCTTTCACACAATACAAAAAACAGGGGTTTCCCGATGACATTAAGAGACAGCAGGCTGAATACAAACACAAGGAAATACTTCTTTGCACAATGCATAATTAACTCGTGGAACTCATTGCCATGGGATGATGTCCTGGTCAAATATATAACTGTATTCAAAAAGAATTAGATAAATTAATCTGGCTATTAGCCAAAATAGTCAGGGATGCAACCCCCTGTTTGGGACAACCCTAAACCTCTGACTGCCAGAAGCAGGAGGGGGAAGACGGGTGGACCACTCCAACTACCCTGTTCTGTACAGTCCCCCTGAAGCTCTGGTTCCAGCTACTATTGGATAACGGGCTAGATTGACCATCAGTCTAACAAATTGTGGCAGGTTCTTATTGTCAATTTTTTGTGATAGTTGCATATTACTCAGATTACTAGTAAAGGTAAACTACCCTTGGTGTTCACTTGATCAATTAAATAATTGCGTGGACACGTTACACTACTATGGTAACACAGTTGGTTCAAATAGTCTTCCCACAGTGCACAAATCATTGTAGAAGAAGTCAAATTTCTAGCATGTATTCAGCTGTCAACTTGCCCAGAGGTCTTAACGGTTGGATTCATTGGGGAAGTTATCAATTCTACACTCTCCTTCCTTCTCCCTCATCCCCAGTAAAATTGAACAAAGGCCTTATCTGCACTAGAGAAGTCAATCAGCAGTATAGCAACTCATTATTTTACACCCATTGTTACACCACTGCTTGCTAATATCATGTTGCACCAGTTTGAAGACCTCCTTGTTTTTTCCTACATCCACCCTCGTGCTATGTGCATTAATGGAGGTGCAGTGCCCTCAAGAAATATATTCTAGAGTTCCCATTACTGCTTCTTGGAGCAGTACAGTCTTACTACAGTAGATTGGGCTACAGACTTATGGCATTTTTAAACAAAAATCATGAAGCAGTCAGAGTAAATTTAGTCAAAGTCACAGATTTAGAGGGAAACTGTGTAAAATCATGGGGTTATGTGGGGGGCCAGGTCCTGCCCGCAGGGGTGGGAGGCCCTGGGAGAGGGGCTGGAGAGTGAGCCCACATTGCACTGACCTTGGGCAGCAGGAGCTCCTGAGTCCCCTGGGGCTGATCTCAGAGGTTGAGAGCAAGACCGCCCCATGCTCACCCTGGGAAGCAGTGGCTTCTATGTCCCACAAGTCTGGGCCCAGAGGTTGAGAGCGAACATGTCACCCTGGGCAGCAGCAGCTCTTTGCCATATCACAATACCACTCACTCAAATTTGGCCTGGCCACCACCCTGTCATGATGGAGGGACAACAAGGCCAAACCTGAGAGGTTCTATGACCCCATACACTAGGTCACAACTCCTGGAACAGGGAGCCAGGCCCAGCCCCACAGGACAGGAGCTTCTGTTGTGGGGTGGGCCTGGTCTTCAGCTTCCCTCTTCAGCACCCCTCCCACGCTCTGCCCTTCACCCAAATGCTTTATTTTAAAATCATGGACAGAGACAAAAAGTCACAGATAGAGAAATCATGGTATCTGTGACTTTTCCATCACCACAAAAACCTGTAGCCCCAACAATAGGCAGTGTGAGAAGAAGGGTCACACACCCCCATATGCTGTAAACTTACATAGTTCTCCAGTGGATGTTCTCATGGGTCAGGGGGTGCTGCCGTTTACAACAGCAAGACCAGTTAGAACATTCATATCCTGGTAAGAGAAGTTGCCTGTTAAGAGATGTCCATAATGGAGTTTTAAAAAACGCAAGGCAACTCTCAAGTGGTGGTAAATGATTTTCTGGGCCTTCATGATAAGTGCTGGAAAGCATTAGGAGTGGTGCACAGACATCAGAGAAATGCTTGTTTGAGCTGCTAGACTGGTAGACCCTGCATACTCTGCTTCCCTGGCCACAAAATGGAAATCTGGAAATGCAGAGGTAGATGAACATTCAGTTACACCCTGAGCAAATGCAGCATGGCAGTAGAATGCACTTTAATAAAATAAATCCAAAATTTGATAAATATTCCCACATCAAAACTTATTGAAAGATATACACATCACTTTTTCAAAGTATTCTGCAATACATAATGCATATATTCACTTTTTCCTGGTGGAGATTAAATGGCAGAAACAGGGAGGATGTGTATATGAAGAGGGAATTCCAATATGACTCAGTTTCTGTATTTTGTAATGCAGGATACTGGGCAAGAGCAGGGATTAGCAAGGGATATATATCTCTGTAAGGTTTCAGAGTAGCAGCCGTGTTAGTCTGTATTCGCAAAAAGAAAAGGAGTACTTGTAAGCCTATTGTATAGCTCCATGTTGTTCCAGAATAGTAAGACTCTAAGCACCTAGTGCAGGTCAATCTCCTGTTTCATGTATCTCTCCATAGATGCCTTGTCCTAACTAACTAAGTATGTAATTTATCACTGAAATCAGCCACTGTACCAGACAACTGGAAGGTAGGTAATGTAATGCCAAATTTTAAAAAGGGCTCCATAGGAGATCCTAGCAATTACAGGCCCTTGAGACTGACTTAAGTATTGGGCAAATTGGTAAAAACTATAGTAAAGAACAGAATTATCAGACACGTAGATAAACACAATTGTTGGGTAAGAGTCAACACAGCTTTTGTAAAGGGAAATCTCGTCTCCCCCAGTCTATTAGAATTATTTGAAGGAGTCAACAAACATGGGGATAAGAGTGATCCAGTGGATACATTCTACTTGGAGTTTCAGAAAGCATTTGACAAGGTCCTGCACCAAAGGCTTCTAGGGAAACTAAGTAACTATGGGATAAGAGGGAAGGTCCTCTCATAGATCAGTAACTGGTTGAAAGATAGGAGACAAAGGGTAGGAATAACTGTGCAGTTTTCACAATGGAGAGAGGTGAACAGTGGGGTTCCCCAAGAATCTGTACTAGAACTTGTACCGTTCAACATATTCATTAATGATGTGGAAAAGACAGTAAATAGTGAAGTGAAAGTTGCAGACAATACAAAATTACTCAAAATAGTTAAGTCCAAAGCAGACTATGACGAGTTACAGAGGGATCTTACAAAACTGGATGACTGGGCAACAAAATGGCAGGTGAAATTCAGCATTGATAAATGCAAAGTAATGCACATGAGAAAAAATAATCCCAATTATACATATACAATGACAAGGTCTAAATTAGCTACTTATTAGATAGATTAGTTATCACTCAAAAAAGAGATTGTGGAGTCATCATGGGTAGTACTCTGAAAACTTCTGCTCAATGCACAGTGCCTGTCAAAAAGGCTAACAGTACAGTAGAAACTACTAGGAAAATGATAGAAAATATCATAATGCCGCTATATAAATCCATGATGCGCCCATTACCTTGAATACTATGTCCAGTTCTAGTCACCCCATCTCAAAAATGATATAGTGGAACTGGGAAAGGTTCAGAGAAGGGCAACAAAGGTGATCAAGGTTACGGAATGACTTCCATAGGAGGAGAGAGTGAAAAGATTAGGGCTGTTCGGGTTAGAAAAATAAATGACTAAGGGGGGATATTATAAAAGTCTATAAAATTATGAATGGTGCAAGAAAAGTGTTATTTATGCTTTCACACAATACAAAAAACAAGTCCAATGAAATTAATAGGCAACAGGTTGAATACAAACAAGAGGAGGTACTTTTTCACACAATGCACAGTTAACATGTGGAACTCATTGCCATGGGATGTTGTGATTGCCAAAAGTATAACTGGGTTCAAAAAAGAATTGGATAAGTTCCTGGTAGACAGGTCCATCAATTGCTATTAGCCAAGATGGACAGGGATGCAACCCCATGCTGGGAGCAACCCTAAACCTCCGGCTATCAGAAGCCAGGAACGGAAGACTGGGGTGGATCATTCCATAATTGCCCT